ACTTAATGTTGTTCATCTCGTCTGAGGAAAACCTAGGTAGTACCATTCCAGGACATAGGCATGAGCAAAGATTTCATCTCTAAAACACCAAAAGCAACGGCAGCAAAAGCCAAAATTGACAAATGGGATCTCATTAAACTAAGAGCTTCTGCACAGCAAAAACTACCATCAGAGTGAACAGGCAACCTACAGGCTGGAAAATTTTTGCAATCTGCTCATCTGACAAAGGGCTAATATCAGAACCTACAAGAACTCAACAAATTTACAAGAAAAAACAAACAACCCCATCCAAAAGTGAGCGAGATATGAACAGACATTTCTCTCAAAAGAATATACACAGCTAACAGACACATGAAAAAATGCTCATCATCACTGGCCATCAGAGAAATGCAAATCAAAACCACAATGAGATACCATCTCACACCAGTTAGAATGGCGATCATTCAAAGTCGAAACAACAGGTGCTGGAGAGGATGTGAAATACAGGCCTTTTATATTTGGTGGGATTGTAAACTAGTTCAGCCATTATGGGAAAATGAGCAAGCGTTCCTCAAAGATCAGGCCCCCACCCGTCGCCCTGCTATATCCAACCTAAGAGTATATACAAGATCCTCAGCATACTGCTATAAAGCTCTACATGCCCTACATTATATTTATTTGCAGCACTATTCACAATAGCAAGAACTTGGAATCACGCCCAAATGTCCATCAGTGACAGATTGGATTAAGAAAATACTAAGCACATATACACCATGGAATACTATGTTATAAAAAAGGATGAGTTTGCTCCTTTGTAGGGACATGGATGCAGCAGGAAACCATCATTCTCAGCAAACTATCACAAGAACAGAAAACCAAACACATGTTCTCACTCATGGTGGAAACTGAACAATGAGAAACTGAACAATGAGATCACTTGGACTCGGGAAGGGGAACATCACACACCGGGGCCTATCATGGGGAGGGGGGAGGGGGGAGGGATTGCATTGGGAGTTATACCTGATGTAAATGACGAGTTGATGGGTACTGACGAGTTAATGGGTGCAGCACACCAACATGGCACAAGTATACATATGTAACAAACCTGCACATTATGCACATGTACCCTAGAACTCAAAGTAGAATAATAAAAAATAAAATAAAATAAAATTTAAAAAAAAACATGCCAGATACACAAAAACAGGGAACTTGCAGATCCACCTTACAAGAATATAGAAAGTTCCAAAGGCTGAAAAACAAGTAACACCAGATAGTAGTAACATTTTCATAACAAAACAAATAGTGCTAGTAAAAATAATTACATCGGTAACTACAAAAAGATATGCTTCATTTCCTGTATTCTCTTAACTGATTTTAAAAGCAATTTGAAAATATATAAAGCAGCTGGGCATGGTGGCTTACATGTTTAATCCCAGCACTTTGAGAGGCCAAGGTGGGAGGACTGCTTGAGCCCAGGAATTCGAGACCAATAATGTAGTGAGATCTCATCTCTACAAAAAAATTATTTTGAAAAATTAGCTCAGTATAGTGGTACACACCTACAGTCCTCATGACAGAGGAGACTGAGGCAGGAGGATCACTTGAGCCCAGGTTAGAGTGAGCTATGATCATGCCACTGCAATCCAACCTGGGCAACAGAGCAAGTCCCCAACTAAAAAAAAACCAAAAAAAAAAAAAACAAAAAAAAAACCTTAAAGGCATTTATACATGTGTGTGAGTAGTATGTATAATAATGACACCAAAAAAAAAAGAGGGAATAGAGCTATATAGGAGTCAAGTTTCTGTATCACACTAGAATTACGTTAGTATAAATCAGAAGTATATTCTGATAAGATAAATATTATAAGCCCCAGAGTAACCACTAAGAATATAACTTAAAAAAAAAACCACCTAGAAAATCATTTAAAAAATTAAACTGAAAGTGTCATACTAGAAAATATTCACTTCATGCAATAATTAAAGAGGAACAGAGAAGAAAAAAGACACAAGACACATGAAAAACCAAATGTAAGCCAGAAAATGTGAATTCAATCACATCAATAATGACATTAAATGCAAACAGATTAAATAATCATATCACAAGGCAAAAATAATTAGATAGAATTTTATAATTAAAAACCCAAGATTTAACTATATGCTCTTTACAGCAGATACATCATTTTTTATTTAAAAAATACAAATAGGTTGAAAGTAGAGTGATTTTAAAAGATAAACCATACAAACAGCAACCATAAGAGCTGAAATGTCTATTCTAACCTAAGACAAACAGACTTTAAAACAAAAAAAAGTTACTCAGAATAAAGAGGAACAATTTATAACAATTAAAAGGTCAATTCTAATTAGTTGGACGTGATGGCACACGCCTATAGTCCCAGCTACTCAGGAGGCTGAGGCACAAGAGTCACTGGAACCCAGGAGGCAGAGGTTGCAGTAAGCCATGCACTGCATTTCAGCCTTGGCAACAGAACAAGACTGTCTCCAAAAAAAAAAAAAAAAAGGTCAATTCATCAGGAATATATAACAATCATAAAAATATATGGATCTAACATCATAATGTCAAAATATGTGAAGCAAATCTGAGAGAAAAAAAGGGAGAAAGACAAACAATAAGAGTTGAAGACTTCAATACCCTCCTTTTGAAAATGGAGAAAACAGTCAGAAGACCAACAAGGAAACAGAAGACTTGAACACCTAAACCCAACCCAATAGAGCTGAGAGACATCTATAGAATACACCACCTAACAACAGCAGAATACACATTCTTCTCAAGTACAAACTGTACATTCTACAGAATAAACTACATGTTAAAACATAAAATAAGCCTCAATAAAACTTAAAAAGACAAATCATACAAAGTATGTTTTCCAACCAAAATTGAATCAGGTGAAACATAGTAACAGAAGGAAATTAAACAACACATTCCTAAATAACCAAAGGGTAAATGCAGAAAAATCACAGTGTAAACTAGAAAATAAGTTTAGATGAACTAAAACAAAAATATAATAAGCCAAAACTTCGGGCATGAAGCTAACACAGCGGTTAGGAATTTATCAATTTTTACACATACTTGTAATAATAATAAGAGCTTAAATCAATAACCTAACTGTACACCTTAAAAAAACAGAAAAAAAGCGCAAACTAAACCCAAAGCAAATGGAATGAAGGAAAAATAATGACTAGAGTGAAAAAAAATGAAACAAAAATCAGAAAAGAAAAATAAAGATTAGAAAAAATAAATCAGCTTATTTGAAAAAATCAGCAAAATTGACAAAATTTAACTAGATTCACCAAAGGGAGAAAAAAAGAAGGGGAAAACTTAAGTTACTAAAATCAGGAATGAAAGAGAGGGCATTGTAACTAACCTTACTGACATGAAAGGGATTACATGGGAATACTATGAACAGATATATGTAAACAGACAGCCTAGCTAAATGGACAAGTTCTATTTAAGACACAAATTGCAAAAGCTGATTCATGAAAAATGTAAAATCTAAACAGACTTATGGCAAGGAAAGAGATGAAGTTAGTAATTTAAGAACTTCCTACAAAAACAGTAGTTTCACAGTAATTTCTATTCAAAAACAATTAATACCAATCCTTTCCAAACTCTTCCAAGTGAACCTGCCACCTCAGTCTCCCAAAGTACTGAGATTACAAGCTTGAGACACTGTACCTGACCCAAAATTTTATTTACTCCAGTAATTATTATTCAATTTCTACCATCCAATCCCAGGGCTATTTAATGGATTTCATCACCCTTCAAATTGTTCCTCATTTAAATCTACTTATTCAATCTAACCAAAAATTGCCTATTCTTTTAGTGCTCTCAATAACTTATTCCCACCTCATCTAATCAACATCATAAACAAATCTCTGGTCCTTCTATTTTCTCCTAGAATAACAACTCTTCTGGCTTCTCTTTCCCTATGTAAGCTGAAACCAATAGGTGATCAACTCTTCTCTCTTTGCCTGCTGTCCTTCTACCATACCCATTCAATGTATTCCTGAACCAAGGATCGATACTGTAATTCATCATCTCCATTCCTGAGTGTTAGCAGGAAAAACAAATCAGAGATTCTGTACAGGCTGACAACATTATAAAATCATTATCACTAACCTGAGCTGACTTCTCAGAATTGCCCTCCAATCCTTTTACTTTCCCTTGGTCAGCTCCATCTCAAATTCACTTCAACACGAACTATAAGTCTTCACCAAACCACTCTCCTCAAAGCCTCTAACCTACTTCCACCACTACTCACCTCCCTCAGCAGATAATCTTGCTTTTACCTCAAAACTGATTTCTCTCAATTTCCTCTCTACAAACTTATTTGCATCCACTCTTGTCATCTTGGGCTCAATCAATTCCTTTTTCCCTTCAAGTCACACAAAGGAATAAACAGATTCTAACATCAGACTCCTCCATATAATTCAGTTCTAAATATTGTCATGTAGAATGCAATGAAAAACCAAATGACTCCTCTAATAAAAGATCAGCGGATTTGTGATGGTCTGAATGTTTGTGGCCCCCATGAAAAGTACAGGTTGAAATCCTAATCCCCAAGGTGATGAAATTAGGAGGCAGGGCTTTTGGGAAGTAATTAGATCATGAGGACACAGGCCTCATGTTTGGGATTAGTGCCCATTATAAAAATGATTCCAGAGAAACCCCTTGCCCCTTCCACCACAGCAGGGCACAGAGGAACATATCATCTATGGTAAACAGTCCCTCAGAAGACACTGAATCTGCCAGCACTTGATCTTGGAATTGCCAGCCTCTAGAACTGCAAGAAACAAATTTCTGTTGTTTATAAGCCACACTTAAAGTATTAAGATATTTTTGTAATAGCAGTCTGAAGAGACTAAGACAGGATTTCTAAACACATCTAATCTGAAGTATAATTATTACAGATACTAAAAAATAAAAAAATTAGACCTAATAAAATATTTTTTTCACAAGGTATCCATAAGTAGGACATTTACCATCTCCTTTTTCTACATACCTGCTTTTAAATGTTTAGGAGCCTTTGGCACAGTGTCAGGAGACATCCTCAACATTCTGAGATCTGAAGAGTAATATTCCGACTCTCTTGGTAGCTTATGTGGAACAAATGAAGGCAATAAAAATGAAAAAGACTCATTAATGCCCAGATTAGAATGACCCACCTATGAAGAAATGAAGAAAATAAGATATTAATTTCAAACTTCATCTGCTAAAAATAATCCCTCATTTTTATAAAGATGAACACTGAGAAGTTACACTAGTTACTTAAGATCATAATCTCAAACCTTCTGAATTCATATATAGGTCATATCTTGTTGGGTCAACTCTGAGAAGACTCTATAAATCATCCTGAGGGCTTAGAAATCTGTTTACATAAAATATTATAGATAGTATGCCTAGAAGTGTTGTTACTCAGAAGTTTGCTCCTTATGATCACTGCAGAATTTGAACCATGGGATTATTCTTGACAAGCTCAGGTATTTCTTTTTAAGGTAGAGAGGTGCACTGTGGGCAAGAAAGAGTAAGAAGGAAAAAGAAACAGGAATATTTTCTAGAAACTCACAAATGTTTAGAAGGAAAATGAGAGTATCAAAGAACTATAACTGTGATCAGTTGCCAACAAGCATAAGTCCTCAAACTTCTTAAAACAAAAGTAATGGAGACTATACATTGGTAGTGAAGTAAAGGTTAACTGCTCAAAAAGAAGTTCCTAATGTTTCATCAGGTCACAAGTCCTTGCTAGAAAAGAAATTAGAAACCAATATTGGTGACATTAATACCTAAACATGTACAGCTTTTCACCAAATTTACAGTGCACCCTCACATAAAACTATATATCAATTTTAGGTTGTCTTTATTTCCCTAAAAAGATTATTTCAGTCATATCTTCTCAGGATGAAGTCTAAAAATGTATACAAGCATGAATTTTTCTATCCTCTTTCATCAATTTTTCATTGTGTAGTAATGAACATTCTTAGGAAGCTGTGTGAAGTGTGGAAATGAATATTCCATATCTATTTCTATATCTACATCTACTGCCCATACAGGTTTCTCTAGACCAGTGCTTTTCGACTGGTGACGATTTTGTACCCATCAAGGGACATTTGACAATGCCTGGAAACATTTTTTGCTGTCATAACTTGTGATGGGAGAGGATGTTACTAGTATCTAGTGAATAGAGGCCAGGGATGGACGCTGCAAAACATTCTACAATAAGCAGGAAACACGCCTCCCACCATAACAAAGAATTATCCAACTCAAAATGATAATGCTGCTAAGAAGCCCTGTTCTCCACATAGCACAAAGTTCCTAGTTTTCAATTACCTCACTCCTACAGGAAACTTTTTTGAAGTACAGCCTATATATATACACACACATATATAAATACACATAAATATACATAAAGATATATGCATATATATAATATGCAGTCATGTATCACTTAATGATGTGGATATGTTCTGATAAATGTGTTGTTAGGCAATTTTGTTGTTGTGCAAACATCACAGAGTGACATACACAAACCTACTACTGTGTAGCCTACTACGCACCTAGGCTAGTGGTCTAGCCTACTGCTTCCAGGCTACAAACCTATCAGCATGTTACTGTTCTAAATACTGTAGGCAACTATAAAACAACGGTATTCGTGTATCTAAACATATCTAAACATAGGAAAGGTACAGTAAAAATACAGTATTTTAATCTTATGGGACTACCATCATATACGCAGTCTGTAATTAACTATCACAGTGTGGCATGACCATACATAATATATAGACACTTGTGAGACAGTGTGTGTTTATAGTTTATAGCAGTTTTTCTTCTACAGCTTTCAAACACAGAAATAAAGAAAAATTTTGATTGCAAGCTTGACGTCAAAAAAATTTCATTATGTTAAAGTTTCAAAATACAGAACTATTAAAGTAGGTAATACCGGCCAGGCACAGTGGCTCACACCTGTAATCCCAGCACTTTGGGAGGCGGAGGCGGGCAGATCACGAGGTCAGGAGATCGAGACTATCCTGGTTAACACAGTGAAACCCCGTCTCTACTAAAAATCCAAAAAATTAGCTGGGCGTGGTGGCGGGCACCTGTAGTTCAAGCTACTCAGGAGGCTGAGGCAGGAGAATGGTGTGAACCCGGGAGGTGGAGCTTGCAGTGAGCCGAGATCACGCCACTGCACTCCAGTCTGGGCGACAGCAGGAGACTCCGTCTCAAAAAAAAAAAAAAAGTAGGTAATACAAAATAAAATGTAAAATGAAAAATATGAGAAGTATTTATTTAAGAAACCAGCAGATCTTCATTGCTAATTGAAAATGGAAAGAACCAGAAGAAAAAGAAATCAAGATTAGTTTATCTTCCCAATGTTTAATCAACAATGAAGAAAGAATGAAAGATGACCAAGAAACCAGAAAAATACTAATACCTTTCATAAAAACTCAGAAACTCTACAAGTGAGTCTAATTTTAGGAAAAATATGAGTTATTTTGCTATAGGGCAAGTTGAATTTGGGGTGATGACAATATTCACAAGAAAACATGCAAAATAAATTAGACAAATATCAGGGTATAAAAACAGAGGTGATAATCATCCACACAGAGATAGGCAACTAGGTCTCCAAAGGTGGGGGGGGTAAGAAGAGGAAAGAAATCTAAGGCTTAAATCTTAAATCATTTTTAGAGTTAAATGGCCAAAACAAGAGGTACTAAAATAGCATATTAGGCCTGGCGCAGTGGCTCACACCTGTAATCCCAGCACTTTGGGAGGCCGAGACAGGTGGATCACCTGAGATCAGGAGTTTGAGACTAGCCTGGCCAACATGGTGAAACCCCATCTCTACTAAAAATACAAAAAATTATTCAGGCATGGTGGCAGGCGCCTATAATCCCAGCTACCTGGGAGGCTGCCGCAGGAGAACTGCTTAAACCTAGGAGGCGGAGGGTGCAGTGAGCTGAGATCGTGCCATTGCACTCCAGTCTGGATGACAAGAGCAAAACTCTGTCTCAAAAAAAAAAAAGAAAATAGCATATTAATTATGTGCTGCTACCAAGAACAAGGAGAAAGAAAAACAAAATAATAATAGAAAGTAGGAAACCACCAGAGACTCTAATAGTCTCGTTTCAGCTAAGTGAAGAGAACTAACAACCAGGAACTATATAAATGCTATATAACTTACCCCATTTAATAGTACGATATATGAGGTTGATTATTAATATTCCTATTTCCTTATGCAGATCAGGAAAGTGATCCTCCAAAGTCATTTGCTCAAGACACAAGGCTAACAAAGTAACTGAACTGGATTTCGACTCCAAATCTCCGTTCTTTTCACAGTTCCGAGCTGCATCATACATACGTGGATACCCAAATAATCATTTATGATGAGTAGATATAAAAGTGAACCAAGTAAGTATGAATGACTCTTCTGTGACAAAGATGAGGAGTGTAACGAAGCAACCAAGGAGTAAGCAAGCCCCTGAAAGCAAGCTAAGCCACACAGAAAAAGTACTACCACATCTGGCTTCTTGCTTTTCTGATATTGACATTAAATAACTCCTAGATCTAAGACTAAGACAGATAGAGCTACAACTGAAAGACAATATAGGGAATAATAGCATCTTCCTTAGATTGAAAGATTATACTTCAGGCTATATTTAAGGACAGATTAAAATTTGGAGCAGTGGTCAAAGCTAGTCTCTGCACATTAACTGAACCTATATATCTTTATTTTTAAAATACATTTTATCTACATGAAAGGTTGATATAAGTCACAAAAGTAGTATTAAAAATTTAGAACACTTTAAGAGTTGTTACTTTGTTTCTCATTGTTATTGAATGCAACTTTAGGCAATCTCCTTCAAAACCTCTACTCTTGCCAAAAAAACGCAAAATCTTAACCTTAGTTTCATCAAGAATAGTTAAAATTCTGGGGTGGGGCGACGGGGGACAGTTTATGGTATGGTGGTTAAGTACATAGACATGGTTAGTTTCAAACACTGGTTCCCCCAATTGCTGAATAATAATAAGCAAGTTCTTAAATCCTCTAAGTCTCAATAGTAAAATAGGGATGATAATAATCTCTAACAATTCTATTTGACAGAATTGACAGAGGACAAAAATGAATTGATACATACATGTAACCTCTTAGCACAGTACTTGAGCACAAAGTGTTAACTATCATTTTCATCCCCACTGTTATCAGATTAAAATTAAAGAATGCCTAGTTTAGAATACTGAAGAAAATAAAACTAACCTAGTGATTCTGTGTTAAAAAAATTTTAATAATGCAATAAATTATAAATAAAAGTTCATCATAGTATCTTCATTTTCTACCAACAATCTGAACCTAAAGGTCTAAATGTGGGTGTAACCCAAACTAATAGAGCTTTACAAAAATATACCAATCTTATACATAGGAAAACAGGAAAAGAGAAATAACATTAAGTACATCACTATTTTATCTAACTGTATTTAATAACAGGATATGAGGATATATCACAAGGAAGTAGGGCCCACTTTGGGACTTACAATACCAGACAACAAAAGAGGATATTCATTCAACAGGACCAGAGGAACATTAATGCCAAGGGATCCAAAGACCCAAGCAAATAAAAGCCTTCTATAAAAGAATGACACAGGGAGGGGAACATCACACACCGGGGCCTGTCTGCGGGTAGGGGGTTAGGGGAGGGATAGCATTAGGAGAAATACCTAATGTAGATGACAGGTTGATGGGTACAGCAAACCACCATGGCACATGTACACCTATGTAACAAACCTGCACATTCTACACACGTGCCCCAGAACTTTAAAAAAAAAAAAAAAAGGGTTGACATAAAATTTTTATGACACCTTAGAGTTGCCAGTTTCTAGTATACACACAATGGTAATAATGATATAAATAGAGAGAGGGAAGGGACATGTATATACATTAGTATGTTGCTCATTTGGGAAGGAGATACTTCCCTTTGGAGAGGCACTGGCCAGTTTGGATATTAAGCACTTCATTATCCTTCCTGGTCAAACATGGGTCTTAAAACTTTCAAGACACCTCTGAAGTCAAGTCTTTCAGGAGCTTCTAAAAAGAAATACTTAAATATTCCAGGGACTGTTTCAAGGCTTGTACATTGAAGACCAGAGGGAAACATTCAAAGTACAAGCTTCTGAATGTTCCCATGAATAACTCTAATCTTAACACTGTCTAAAGACTATTGCTGGCACAACTAGGAAGAGTTAGGCTGCCTCAATATGAAAGGCCTGGAGCCCCAGGGGATGGCCTTTTCCAAGACACCCCAGAACTAGAAATAAGTCTTACAGTCTACGAAACATAAACATTTCTTTTATACCAACCTCTAATGGAACATATTCCTGGATATCAGATAAAGAACAGGTACAAGTTACAAGCTGGTAATGAAAGATATAATTTTTCAAATAAAATATTTTCAAATAAAATTTGAAATTTTTTCAAATAAAATATTCCTCTCCCCGCCCAGAAAAAATGTCAGATAGAAAAACTTACAGGCTGTTCAAAATTGCTTTCATTCTCAGATGGTAGTTGTAAAGTAGGCTGCCAGTGCAGGGAGCTGTCATGCATCTCTAGATCATCATGCAAATTCTCTAAAGCTGCTAGCTCAACGTACTCACCAGTCAAATCACATTGGTCATGTACCCAGGAAACAGTAAAAAGTAAAATAAACACAAACAATGCCATTTCCTGAAACAATACTGAAAAAGGCCATGTTTCTTACAACTATCATTTTATTGTATCTCACCTTTCTTTGTAGTTCAGTAATTCTTTCACTGCACACAACAGCGTTTTCATTTAGGCCATCCAGAGTAATGATGTCAGACTCAGCCTTCCCCTGCAGGCCCTCTACAAAATAGGAGTCATTTTGCATAATTGTATGTATAGTAAAACTAGACTTAGCTCCCACAGGCCAAGGAATTTCACCTTGGCCTATATCAGCTTTCAGCAATGTCTCTTGGGCGACTGCAATTAATGATGCATCACTGGTCAATGGTAAAAGCACCTTGTGACTTTGCATCACATGCCACCAAGTTTGCTGAAAAGCTGCTTCCTACAGCTGCAGGTGGACCTTTAATGGTATTACTATAGTTAACATCCTTACCCAAATTAAAGTCTGAGTAATCTGCAACTTCTTCAAAGGTTGGCTGCTTTAAATCTTGTAAAACCAAAGAATCTGAAGTTAATACTTTCACATGATAAGTAACATCTGAAGATTCCACCTTCTCTGCAGGTCAAGAGAAGGAACAGACTTTATCTTCCCAAAGGGAAGAAATGGTTCATTGCTTATATCACACTGAAATAAAGTGGACTGTGTTTTGCCAAGACCAACAGTCTGGTTGTAAGATTTTTCACTCAAAGAAGCAGATGACTTAAGCTCTGGAATAACACAAAGTGGCTTAATGAACATTTTCTGAACAGCATTAGGGGGTGATTTTAAATTTGGATGCCAGTATAGGAAGCTATCATTATCATCCTTTATATGCAACAATGGTTTTGAAGCTGCTGGTTCAAACACCCCAGGAGTAGACTGATAGCATGTATGTTTAAGCCTATCAAAGAGTTTTCATCTTTATAATATAATGGAGAAAGATCTGGATTTTTTGGTTCTCTCTCTTGGCTGTCATCTGTTAAATATTTATTGATGTCAGCTTGGATGTCATTTACTGTACTCTCTTTCTTAGAAGGCTCAATAGAGGCAATAACTGCCTCAAAGGCTATATTTTCAGTAGCATCAATGTTTTTCTCACCAAAAAGAGAAGTTCCCTTTTGGTTTCTTTCCTCTTGAAAATACAATTGTTCTGATGTTTTATCCAAGTTGGATATAACAGTCTGAAGAGGACCACCAGAAGCCTCCATTTTAGAGGTATCATGTTCCCTGGAGAGTACATGTATTTCTGAAACTTTTACAGAATTATCAGGAGCTATAACATTCCTAATACACTTTATTCCTGAGGATCTGGGTTGCACTTCTGAAGATAAATTATTTCTAGTCTCTGTTAGTTCAAAACATTGAGATGATTCTTTCTGTAAACCTTCTTCATTTCTTTCATAACCCTCCAAAGAATCTGTCTTTTGTTTCACCTCAATCTCAGCTGGAGCCCTTAAATAAACATTCTCAAAATAATGACTATCAGAAGTCAAGGGAACCCCTTTTCCTCTTCTTTCCAACAAACAACACAAGAAAGAATATGACATTTTATTATTATAATGAGCAGCAACTTCACATGGAAAGGAAACACAGTCCTTACTGATTACACATGTTTCTGGGTGGTGCAAAGTTCCCTCTTTGTTCCATGGCACATAGGAAAAGGGGACACTAAAACTGTAACTTCCCTTGGAAATTTTATTTTTATCAATTGTGTCAGATGAATCTGAAAAAGAATCAGGGTACTTACTGGTTAAGTATGTTTCTGCCTGCTTAGATGAAGCTTCCTGTTTCCAATACTGCCCATATGAATAAGCAGCATCAAAATGGTCACTTCTTTTAGTAGCTATGTTTTCATCGGTTATGTCAGATAAACTTGTAACTGAAACTTGATCTTTATCAGCTAAATTGGTTTCAGGCTGCTGTGTATCTTTTCGTGTCTTCCATGACATATATGAACAAAGATCATCATAACTATCACAGTCTTTGGGAATTTTCAGTTCATCAACAGACGAAATAGTCTCTTCATTATTCCCTTGTTCAGAAGGTAAAAAAGGGCACTGAGACCCAACAGTTGTGCTCCCTATAAGTGGGTGCTGAGATACACTAAAGCAACTGCTTGCTAAGTCTGAAGCTACTTCTGCAGTAGCCTGGAATAAAGCTTCACTAACTTCCGATGGTCGAGAAGACCATTCAGTATCTTCAGACTTATCAGGAATTCCCCTGAAAATAAACAGTTAAAAATAAATAAATAACACATTAAAAACATTTAATTTTTAAGTACTAATACAAAAATACATATGTCACTAAAATCAAGTTTATTTGAAAAGTGCATTGAAAAACAAAGCTCTCCTAATTTCAGACTCCTTTAAGATGGCTAATGACCGAACAAAAAAATTCTTTTTAACCAAAAGGTGAACTACCACCCTACAACCCTGATATTATCTCAGGCTTCTCCTAAAACAATAGACACAGAATGTGATTTTCATAATGATGCCCACCATGATTTTTCATTTAACCTGCATTAATTTTTTTACTAGTCGTCATTTATTGTGCTCTTGAAAACTATGCAAGGCCAGGCACAATGGCTCACACCTGTGATCCTAGCACTTTGGATCACCTGAAGCCCAGCAGTTCCAGACAAGCCGTGGCAATATGGCAAGACCCTATCTCTACAAAAAAAATTAAAAATTGGTTGGGCATGGTGGCACAGGCCTGTAGTACTAGCTATTGTGAAGGCTAAGGCAGGAGGATTGCTTGAGCCTAGAAGTTAGAGGTTACAGTGAGCCATGATGGCACCACTGTACTCCAGCCTGGGCAACAGAGCAAGACTCCATCTAGATAGATTAAAAAAAAAAAAAAAAAAGAGAAAGAAACCACTCAAGAAGTGATCTATTCCCAAAACACAACAGTAACTTAATCACTGGTTGATGATCTAAAAATGTGTACAGATCACTTTTCATAAAAGTGATATAAGGTAATATACAAGCACAGAGGTTACTTTTTACTTTCTAAACATTGTTTTTAATTTAAGGTGGGTTTTCTTTTCAGTTCTAGAAGAGGAAAACATATTCTTGAATAATTCCAAATATGTTTTGAAAATTCCAGACTTTTCTCCCATTATGACTATTCTAAAGGACATGAATTTGGAGTATCTGTTAATTTGGATAAGTCTGTTCATAAAAATCTTCTTACTTCATACTCACATCTCCTATAAGGTAAGGAGAGCTAACTAGTCTCATTCAGTAACAGCTGAACAAAATGAGAGTGCCAAACAAGTTAGTGACCTAGAAATAAATGCTTTTTGCAGAATAAGGGTGAGAGGGAGGAGAGAGATGATGAGCAGCAGATGGGAAGGTTTATGAGAAGGAAAATCCAGTGTGTCTTCTAAATTAAAATATGCCCGAAATGCCTGAATACATTAGGAATTATTTTTAAATAAACTACTGTCATCTAGTTCATCTCTACACGTTACTCTGCCAAATTAATATGCATCAAGTCCTAGGACTTTGTTACCTTCAGAGTATGTCCTAAGAGTATCTAAGCCCCACCTCAAAGTACCACCTTAGCCTGAAGTCACTAATATTAGTAACAACGTAGAACAAGAAAGGAGAAAGGTTACATGCAAATAAATCATCCTACCTCAGAGGTGCAAAACTTAGTTCACTTTGATGAAATAAAGAATCAGACGCAAATTCTTGGTCTTGTGTCAAACAGGTCAGCAAAGGCAAATCAGGAGAAGCAAAGCTATCTTGTATGACTGCAAAGTTTCAAATATAAAAATGCTGAGTAATGCTGAAAATTGATTATTTACTTACGTATGTAATACTTTAAAGCACCTACATATGCTGCCATATGGAGAATTCTACAAGCATTAGAATAAAAATATAAAAGCAACAGCAGTAGCAGCTACCATTTATTGAGAGCCTGACAAAGTCAAGGTGCTTAACACCCAGTATTTCATTTAATCCTCATGACAACCTTGAAAGATAGGTATTATTATACATATCTTATCGGTGAGGAAACATGATTACAAAACTTACAAAGCATTAAGTAACTTGTCCGCATTCAAGTAGCTGAAATGCCACAGTGAGATTTGAACCCAAGCATTTCAACTTTTAGCAAATGCTCTTAGCTATTATTAGTGTTTCTTCCCATCTTACATAATACAGACTACACCTGTTATGTCAAAGTATAGCACAGGAGCTCCTGGGCCCTAAGACACTCTTAGGAGGTACCTACTGTTGAAATTTTATTCAAAATAATATTAAGATATCATTTGCCTTATTCACTCCCATTCTCTCAAAAAGATACAGTGACATTTTCCAGAAGCTACAGAATGTATGATACAGCAACAGACTGAATACAGAAACAAGACATGAGAATTTTGCTGTCTTCTATTATGTCAGACATTATAGAATTGTTTAAGTAAAACATGGCCATATTGCTAAACATTTTTGTATTAGAAAAGTTATGTTTTATAAAATATGTACTTTTTCAATGAATTAATAAATTTTAAATGTTTCAGTTTTAATTTCTAATATGGGAAATATCAATAACCAAATAAACAAAAGCTCTTTGGAGTTGTCAGTGATTTTTAAATGCATAAAAGAATCCTGTTACCCAAAAAGTTTGAACTGCTGCTTTAATGAAAAAATTTAAAAAAAAATTCTTGTGATTTCCTGAATGTTGACTTAAATCATTCTTATTTTAATCAGTATACTCTCTTGATTTCAGAATGCCTGTAACACTGTGTACAAAGTGAGGACTCCTCTCTCACACCACTGTTCCCCTTGAAATTACTGAAAACCTAGAGTTCACAGAGCTCACCATGTTGTCACCTGTCCTTCACTTGGTCAAAATGCGTACTGTCCCTGCTCATATACCCTGCACACCTTCCATATAATTCATCACCCTCTTGTTTTAATCTTTCGTCGATCCACTTCCCATATAAACTGTCAACTCTGTGTCTACTTTATCCATAGCTATAACCTCAGTGCCTAGCAAAGTACCTGCTACACTTAATAGGTACTCAAAAGAGAGTTATTTACTTACTGAATGAATTAAAGTGAGAAACTGATATATAACAACAACTTTTGCCACCAAGGAACAATTAGTATGGTTCCTCTTTGGCCTTGGCACAGAGAAGCAGTCTTAAACCTCCATAATAGTCCTTCACCCCTCTAAAAATCATGAAGAGTTTTTAACAAAGTCCCCAAATACACTAGAGCTAATGCTATAAGGGGGACCTTTGGGCAAGTAAAGCAAATTTACTATTTCCAGTTAACTGTAGGCTGCGTATTTAAAGAACCTGAGAGTCTTTTCTAAAAAAAAAATTAGAGTTATCCCTAACCAGGTTTCAGAACCCACAGAAATCCTCAGTACCTAAAATAGCTATTTAGGTATGAGTAAGGAATAGCAAGTAACAAGTAAGTTATAAGCAGCATTTCAGCATCTTCTTAAATATTTAAGAATATTTCAGGGTGGAGTTGGACAGTTAAATCAGGTAAATTGGAAAAAGTATTTGCTAAAGGAGCAGGCCAAAGCTGAAGAGTTAATGATTCTCAAGTGTACAACATTATTTGTGTGTGTGTGTGTGTGATGGGAAGGTGGTATATGTTACTTGCCATGCCTTTTTCTTTCAGCTTTCAACCACTTCTTGTTTCCTCAAGTATGGACATCTGTTACTAGCTTGGATCCCTTTTTTTTTTTGAGGTATCTAATCATTCTGGCACCAGCCATCATCAATGACATTTGCCATTGGCGAGAGCCTAATTATCACAGTTAGTACTTATGCATAACAAAACAGCAATGATAAAATTTCCTCTGCCTATCAGATCCAGGAACCTACTCCAATAATTTAAAATGTTCTGCCCCATCTATAGTAAATGAGAAGCCAGAGTTACAAAACTTTACATTAGAAAACATTTTAGGTCACAAAGTACAATCTCCTCCCCAGTACTAAAATCCTAATACAGAATTTTGCTAGACATTTTGCAGTGACATGAAGCTCACTTTTTGTTGTCGTTATATAGCCTTTTCTACTATTAAATGGTTTTGACTATTAGAAAGTTCTTTTTTATATCAATTTGAAAAACAGTTTCCCTTTAAGTTATGTATTCATTTTAAACTCTAGACTAGCAGTTAGCAAACATTTTTTTATGAAAGGTCAGATGGTAAATATTTTCGGTTTTGTTGGTCATATATAATCTGTCACATATACTATAGTTGTTTGTTTTTACAATCCTTTAAAAATGCAAAAATCATTCTTAGCAGATGGAAGGTACAAAATCAAGACTTGGCCTATAAGCTATAGTTTGCAGATCCTGCTCTACACCATTATAATACAAATCCCATGGTACTGTTATTTTCTGTTTACTGGATTGCCTTCCCACAAGAGGAGTTAGCTTTCATCTTTATATCCCTAGCATCAAACACACAGGAGGCACTTAGATATTTGTTACATGAATGAATAAAAACTAAGTTGCTTCCTCTTTAGCATAACAGCCCTTCAAATATTTGACCATAGCAAAGTCTTCTCTTTTGTCTATCAAAAGATACTCATCTCCTCCCACAAAGGTACTCTAATTTTGTCAACATCCTTCTTAAAATGTGGACCTAAAATTGACTTTAATAATTCACATCATAGAATATGTTGGCACTAATATCTTGACTTGGACAGCATTAGCTTATGTTTGCAAATAACTTGCTGAATTAAGTCCTATTCATGCTTCTTTACAAAACTATAAAACCATCTTCATGATTGAATCCCTTAATGGTTTTAAAAGTACTTAAAGTTTATCTTTTATAAAGAGCTAATAAATCAGTTCTATGAGGAAAGCAGCAAGATCTACCTCAGACAAGCCACTCAACCTCTTTATGTCAACTTTTGGTTTGAAAGCTGAGGATAATAACACATGCCTTAATTAATTCTAAAAATCAAAAAAGGTAAATATGAACATTTGTTTTTTTTTTTTTTGGGGGGGGGGATCATGGAGTCTCCATTGCTGAGAGAACCAAAGTATAATATATTATTCATCCCAAAAACTCTGCAAATTCAAGACTGAGGAGGTACACACAGTAGACAGTTATCACCTTTCTGCCTTCTGTGAGCAACAGGATGTGACAAAATGAGAGGCAACTGTACACTTAATATAACTAGATCAGCTAGCCAGTAAAAAAAACAAAAACAAACAAACTAAAAAACAGAAATAAGCTTACCCCTTTGAGTAGGTCTCTACAGAGCTCCTTCACTCAAAAAGGGTAAAGTTAACACTTGCAGTCCCCGCAAAACTTACGAATGTGAGGTATTACTACTAGTTAAAATAAAGAGGCATTACCTAGCAATGGAGAACAGAAGAGATCTCTGTTGGGTTCCTTTACTTGATTTTCTGATTGGGTCAATACACCCTCCTCCAGAGAGGGGAAGTCTGACACTTCAGTATCTTCTCTTCTCACATTAAACCTGGTCTGGGATGTATCCAAGGTTTGGGAAGGGTCCATTTCTTGAGGAAGACAATGCCAAGATTCTGTTTTCTACAAAAATTTTAAAGGAAAACATGCTAAGTCATTAACTGAGTTACCATACATATTAATATTTAGATTAAAATGTCCACTCATGTATCACATAGCTTCCTATTTAATGACATTCTCATCAAAGTTTAGAAAATGTAAAGCTGTTCTATTTCTCACAATATTAACCACATTTTAGACCTCTTCCCATTATTACACATCTCTTTCTTTAATACAAAAAAATCTTTGATACAAAGTTTCGTTGTATGCCACTGCCAGCGTATACAAAACAATTACCCTTGTGAAATAGAAATTCATGAAAATTCAGAAAGGTAGATATTAAGGACTGACAAAAGTAGAAGTTTGTATATTATGGCACATGTGTTCCAGGGATAAGCTTTTGTACAGGTTTCAAATGTAGCTCTCTTTTGAATATTCACTGTATCATGAGAAGTGGCTTGGGAAACCTTTGAAAGGTTCATTTTACTACAAAAAGGAACAGACTTTCTGGGGTCTGAAGGAATTTGTACTTGAAGATACTCCAGTCAGCAGAGAGTCATGTTGAGCAATCTGCAGACAGAATTGTTTCAAGTCTGCAGCTGCCTGGGAAACATTTACATGGTTGAGTCCGGCCTTCAGCCAGAGCTGTTGAGCCACTTGCTTCATGGCGGCAACGCTAGAAGGGGCCAAACATGGTGCCCGCGAGGGCTGGGCCGATTCGTGGGTCCTACTACACATCTCTTGAAGTGTGGAAGAATCACTGGCATTTCCACTATATTTTTTGTTAGTTCTCATCATTAAATCAATAGATTTGGTTCTACATAATATTTTACAACTCGATAATAATAAAATAATAAAAAAACTGAAAAAAATATTCCAAACCTAAAGCTGAAGTATTCACTCCAGCTTTAAGTTGGGAATTCACTTGACTGAATTTTTATTAGCTCTACTACTAGTTTCTAAAGGATCCCTGGCTCTTCTCAATATATAACATTATTATATCACCCATGAATGTGATACATTTGTCTCCTCCAACTATTTACTCTTAAATTAGTGGCAAGATTCACAGAACTGCTTCTCAGACTACTTATGGGGAAGGACCAGTTTTTCCTACTTCCAATTCATCACAGACTGACACTTTACTAAAATGTTAACAAAAATTAATGACAAATAAGCTAATTTTTAAAACTAGTAAAAATAACTAGAAAAATGAAATTTAAGTCTTAATATAAGCCCAAGATATAAAACACCAGCCCAAATGTTTGATTTCTAGGTCTAAAAAAAGATAAAATTACTCTATCAAACTACTATAAAAGTTTCTAAACACTTCCTCTCAATTTCTATACTTACCTCTTGACAGACCAGTAACAAGCAAATAATGGACTGGCACCAATCTACAGATCACACTAAATAACAATGCTGAATTAAAGTCGAATTAAATACTAATGGTGACAAGTTTAAAAGGCATTTTCCTTTTGGATTTAATACTAGTTAGTATATTCTATCATGATATGAAAGTATTTTCATTTTCAAATAATTTGATTAGAAATGAACACTAAATTAGCTCAAACTGCATTATAGCATCTTTTTCCCCAATTAAACCTGATAAAGGATGGCAACATTTTTTTTATTTTTATTTTTTAGACAGGTTCTTGCTATGTTGGACTCAAACTCTATGGCTGGACTCAAACTCTGGGCTCAAGCACTTGAGCTTCCCACCTCAGCCTCCCAAGTCAATAAATTTCTTTATATTGAAACATGTTCACATTTCTTACACAGTAGTGGTAGAGCAGACGTTTAAATGTTTGCTAGCATATTCTTTAACATTTTCACACATATATGGTCATAACTAAAATTAATCGGTATTTTAGAATGCCCTCATTTTCTTGTTTCATAACATTGTTCAGTATTTATTTTATATAAGCAACTTCAATTTTCTTTAAAAATTTAAAAGATTTATCAGTGAATCTATTAGTTCCAAAAACCTTTTTGATAGCTGGTACTATCATAATTTTCTCAATTTCCTCCTTAGTAATCCTAGTCTACCTCTATAAAATACTGATAGTTTTGTAGAAAGTCTATTTCATTGAGTTTTTTTTTCTTAACTGTATTTATTAGGAATATATCTATTTTTTCTCTATTTCTTGAATTTAACAACTGTATTATATTTTATAACTTGTTTTCCTATTTACCATGTTTCCTCTATCTGCAATTTTTCTTTTTTTGTGTATGTGAGACAGGGTCTTGCTCTGTCAACCAGGCCAGAATACAGTGGCACAATCTCAGCTCACTGCAACCTCTGCCTCCAAGTTCAAGTGATCCTGTCATCCTCAGTCTCCTGAGTAGCTGGGACTACTGGCAGGCACTCAGTTAATTTTTTAAAACTTTTTGTAGAGACAGGGGTCTCACTATATTGCCCAGGCTTGTCTGGAACTCCCAGACTCAAGCAATTTCCCTGTCTTGGCCTCCTAAAGTGCTGGGATTACAAGTTTTTCATTCTTTATCTAAAATCTTTGGTTAAATAATTAATTCATTCAATTTGCTTTATTTATTTAAATAAAAACATGAGAAAGTGGCACTATAATGATAGCAACTTTACATATATAATGTATTTTCATTATTTTGTAAGTATTCCACTACTGGACTCTTCTTCCTTGATCAACTCAAAGGTTTCTAAGAGAATATTGGAATCTTTTAATTCCCAGGTGGCCCAGAATCCATAAAAAGAAAATGCATTACAATTTACAAATATTTTCACAAACATTTTCTAACAAGACTTTTGTCTTTGAGGAGGCATTTCCAATATTTAAAATTCATTAATAAAATGTGCATATAGCAAGTTTAAGAAAAAAGATACCCACTATCCACTACATAATATCAGTTATACAAATACATGCAAAGAAAAAAATTTAGAGAGAAATATTCTAAAATATTAACACTACACTTACGGAATAGCAGACTTTTGACATTCCAAAATAACTCAATCCCTTCTACATTGAATAAATTAATCAGCTCTATAACATCAAATTGCTACTGGAAACATGCTTTTCGCCTTTCTGATACTTGAAAATAAAAGGAATATGAGAATGATTAAATTTTACATTTTTTATTTTGAGGGCACTCCATTCTATAGGGGATAGGTTAGTGAGCCAACAAAAGGTTTTAGAGCAGGAGAATTCCAATCATTTTGTGACTCACTAAAGCAAAAATCACTGGTCCCCTGACTCATCTTCGTAGCCTCTCTAACCATGGTTTGAGCCTGTATCCCATAGTTTACTCCTCCCTAATAGTGACAGATGTATCCATTAGTCTTCCTGCCCATCCTCTGACCTCCACAGATCACTTACTCTCTAGTTCCTCTACTGCAATAATTTTTTAACTTTATGGAGACAAGTATCTTATCACATTTATACTTGTCTTTATTCCTTTCTTATCTGTATTTCCATCGTTGCCCCTCTGAGAGTTCAGTCATCCTTATAATCACGCTTTGCAAACACCCTTAACTTTCTTGCCTTTTTCTCCCATTATCCTATTTGCTTAGCAAAAGTTAACACTGATGGAACCGTCCCCTTGCGTGAATCCAATCAGCAGCACATTGCTGGAGAAATCACATCCCACACTGTCAAAGCCAGTCTTTAAACTGATGTCACTAAACAAGGGCATTCAGTATGGCCTGGAAATCCTACTACATTTTCCTGGTGAGTTGCGATTTCATACCTTCTCTCCTCAGAACTATCAAACGTTCCTAATTTTCAACTGATGACCTTCAATAAGTGTACAGCACGAGAAAGGAACTCCCTTGTCTTCAACTGCAGATCTACAACCCCCATTACCAGATTTCTATCTTATGACTTGAAAAAAAAAAAAAAACAAAAAAACGTCGCTCTACCTCTCAAAGGCCTTCCCATCTCCTTCCAATTTTTTTCAGTGATTTCCTTCCTATGTGATTCTCCCACTTTCCTTCATCCATTTTTCTCTCATTACTGAATCATTCCTCTCCTATGCAAACATATTCTTATAATTTCCCATTATAAACTGAATTTTTAAAATAATATGTTCAACCTTTTTTTACTCTCTGCATTATGTATTTTCTTGCTACATTTCAATCATCAAATATTCTTTGTGTTATACCTTTTAAATCAATATAAAAAGGCCAACAAGTCTCTAAATATTTTTGACAGATGTGGGGAGGGACAACATATAAGCATTCTGACAAATACAAACAAATTTTGCAGGAGAAGTAAAAGTTTGAGATATATCTTTGGGATTTATCAGTATACAGATGTATTTAAAGTCCTGGATCTGGATGAGACCACAAACATTCCAACGTTTCAAGCAGGGGTTAAAAACTCAATGTGTATAGGGGTATGGGGGTAAGACAAATGGAGTAATCCATCCTGGAATTGGAGAGTAATGGGATTTGTGGCTAACTATGCACTGCTTGTTCACTTTAAAGTATTCTATTTCAAAAGTGTTAAAACATTGTGCAAAATTGGTTTCTGCAAACCACATTTGAGTCCACAGCTTACAAATTCTGATTCTAAGGTTTAACAAAGGAAGATAAAGCAGCAAAGGATACTGAGAGAGAACAGCTAGATGAGTAGAAAGAAAACCAGGAGAACCCAAGAAAGGAAATAACTTAAAGAAGTTATGTAATGATTAATAATAGTGTCAAATGCTATTTATTGTACCTAAGATGAGGACAGAAAAGTATTCACTGTATTCAGCTACATAAATATTGCTGGTGATACTTGCTTTCAAATGGTTGGGGTCAGAACACAAAGTAGATCAAGTAGAAGAACAGACAGATCCTAGCCAGTGTAATAAAGCAAAAAAAAAAAAAAAAGGAAAAAAGAAATGAGAAATCTATTTAAAAGGAAAAAACAAAACACAGTTGATACAACTCTGCATAGAAACTCCTAAAGAATATATATTTTTAAAAAAGCTACTAAAACTAGTAAGTGAGATTAGCAAGGTCATAGGACACAAGGTCAATACAAAAAGTCAATTATACTTCTGTACACTCATAATGAATAATAGGAAATAGAAATTTCTAAAACTACCAGTAAGTCTAACAAAACGTGTAAGATTGGCACACTGAAGACAGCAAAACATTGATGAAGACATTAAAGAGAAATAATAAGCTAAAAGAACTGTCATGTTTATGGATTAGAAAATTCAATATTGTTAAGATGTCAAAATTCTCTTTAAATTGATTTATAGACTCAATGAAATCTTAATAAAAAATTTCAGCAGGCTTTAAAATATAAATTGGGCAAGCTAATTCTAAAATTTATATAGAAATTCCAAGATCTAAAATAATCAATTCTTAAAAAGAGGAACAAAGTGGGAAAACTCACACAACCTGATTTTAAGACAGTATAGTTACTAAGAGTGTAATATTGGCATGAGGATACATATGTAAATCAATGGAATAGTGTGCAGAAATAGACCCACATATATAAGGTCAATTAATTTTTTTACAAAGATATCAAGAAATCCACTGGAAAAAATATAGCAAATGGTGCTGGAATAACAATTACATATTTGTATGTAAGAAAATACAGCTTGAATGCTTCCTTCACACCATATACAAAAACCAACTCAAAATGGATCTTAGACATAAATGTAAAACCTAAAACTATAAAACTTCTGAAAAAGTGGTTTTTCTCAGTTGGGAGAGGTTTTGACACACCTCTCCCTTCAACTATGGAATATTTGGCAATGTCAGAAAACATTCTGGATGGTTACAACTTGGGGGACTATTACTGGTATCTAGTGGGAAGAGGCCAGGAATGCTGTTAAACATCTTAGGATACACAGGACAGCCCCCTACAATGAAGAATTATGCAACCCAAAATGTCAATAGTGCCAAGGCTGAGAAACCCTGGTCTAGAAGAAAACATAGAAGAAAAATCTCACTGACATAGGATTAGGTCAAGATTCCTCAGATAGTACACAAGACGTACAAACTATAAAACGAAAAAAAAAATCAATAAACAAGTTTCATCAAAATTAAAACTTCTGTCTTTCAAAGACAGGAGAATACAAAAACATGCCACAGACTGTCTTTGCAAAAGAAATAACTGATAAAGGACTTGCATCTGGAGCTACAAAGAACCCCCAAAGCTCAAAAAATGAAACAAACCAGCCATAAAAAATCAGGAAGAGATTTTAACAGATCTCTCACTGAAGAAGAAACATGGGGGTGCAAATAAGCACACAAAAAGATGATAACTATCATTAGTCATTAGAGAAATGCATGTTAAAATCACAGTGAAACACCATAATACACCTTCTAGAGTGTCTAAAATTAAAAAAAAAAAAAAAAGAAAAAACTGATGATACCAACAGCTGCCAAGAATGCAGGGCAACCAGAACTCTCATATACTACTGGGATACAAAATGGTACAGCCACTTTGGAAAAACAGTTTGGTACTTTCTTATAAAGTTAAACATACAGTTGTGTTATCACTCAACAAACCCATTCCTAGGGGTTGTTTTTGTTTTTTGTTTTTGAGATACAGTCTCATTCTGTCACCCAGAACGGAGTGCACTGGCACCATCTTGACTCACTGCAACCTCTGTCTCCCGGGTTCAAGTGATTCTCCTGCCTCAGCCTCCCGAGTAGCTGGGATTACAGACATGTGCCACCACACCTGGCTAACTTTTATATTTTTAGTAGAGACGGAGTTTCTACTACACCATATTGGCCAGGCTGGTCTCAAATTCCTGAACTCAAGTGATCCACCCACCTCAGCCTCCCAAAGTGCTGGGATTACAGGCGCGAGCCACCGCGTCTAGTCATTCCTAGGTATTTGCCAAGAGAAATAAGGCAATATGTCCACCGAAAAACCTATACACAAACAGAATACTACTCAGTAATAAAAATTAAAGTGGACAAATTATTGATACATGCAACAACATGGATAAATCTCAAAAGCTAAGCCAAGTGAAAGAAGTCAGATTCAAAAGTCTATACACTGTATTATTCTGAAAAGGTAAAACTAAAGAGAAAGAAATTGGATAAGTAGTTGCAGGGACTAGGAATTGGGGAAGTGACTGACTACAAAGGGACAACAGGAACTTTTTGTGAAGTTCCTTTTTGTGAAGGCAATGTTGTCTATCTCAAATGTAGTGGTGGCTGCATGATAGTATACGTATGTCAAAGCTCACTTGACAAACTGTACACCTAAAACAGTAAATTTTGATATATTTAACTTATACCCCAATAAACCTGGCTTTTTAAAAATGAGGATAGGATATTTAATGTATAGACAACTCAAAAATTTCACTGTAACAGGGAGCAAAATATTGACTGAAGCAGTAGCTGGAAGGGAATAGAGGACGAGACATTTGTAGTAAGGTAGCTGGTGATGACAAGGTCTAGACTGTGATCATGGAATGAGTAACTACGTACAGGTAGCAGAAGACTGGAAGGAGATATGGAAGTAAAGATTGCTGGAGGTTAGATGAAGTATCTGAGAACTTCAGGCACTGAATGGGAAATGTATGTTGAAGTGAAAGAAACCAATAAAAGAGACGAAGACAATGTAGCAAGAGCCAGTTTTCCATGAATAAATAAAGGTAACTCAGATGACAGTAACAAAGATGAACAACAATAGTACAAGGAGAAAAGAAGGAAGTGAACTAGAAAGCGGCATAATGTTCCAGCTATTCTGAGGAACCCAGGCATAAAGATGAAATGAAATGCTGTAGGCTCCATCATGGTTCGTATTTTATGAAACAGGAAAAAAAGGAAGACATCAATTTTTGGACTGTGCTCTACCAAAAATATGCCCTCAGAGAGTATTATTTAGAAATACATCCCGTTATGTTTCCTAGGGCTGCTATAACAAAGTGACACAAACTAGGTGGCTTAAAACAAGAGAAATTTATTATCTCGCAGTTCTGGAGGCCAGAAGTCTGAAATCAAGGTGTTGGCAGTGTCATGCTCCCTCCGACGCCCCTAGGGGAAGGTCCTTCCTTGCTACTTCTACCTTCTGGAAGCCCCAGGCATTCCCTGGATGTGGCAGCAAAATTCCAATTTCTGCCTCCATCTTCACATGGCCATCTTATCTTTGTATGTTTTTCTCCTCACATGGTGCTTTCCTCTTTCATAAGGACACCAGGCAGATTGGATTAAGAGCAAACCCTACTCCAGTGTGATCTTAAATAATTACACCTGCAATCACCAATAAGGTCACATTCTGAGGTAGGGATTAGGACTTCAACATATAATTTGGGAGGGCACAATTCAACTCAAAACAACCCTCTTCCATTTAATGGCCCCAGGTACTATGCTTTTTATGCTCAGGGATTGTCTTAACTACTTTCCCTCAGTGATAGTATATCTCCCTTCCTCTATATCTTGCATCTAACATATAATCACTGCAATTTAAAGAAAATTGAAGGTAACAGAAGAAATCTGATACTCAAGTTATTAATCAACCTTAGATATTTAACCATTATCAGTAACACTACATTTTTCCTCTAATAACTCTATATGAGCTTTTTTCCTATCTGCTCATGACTGTTCCATTTCTTCAAAGTTTATAACTATGTTCTAGAAAATTGCTTCTCAAAGTGTAGTCCAAAAATCCCTGAGGGTCACTGATACCCTTTCAGGGACTGAATGGCAGCCTCCTTTCCCTAACTCCTTTTTCATCTATGTAAGGCCAGACTGTCTTCATATACTTCAACCAAAACAATACATCCCAACAAACGAAATGCAGAGCAGACTGAGAATCCAGCTATGATAGGTAATTTATGTATCAAATTGACTGGATCATGGAATGTCCAGATACATGGTTAAACATAATTTTGGATATGTCTGTGAGGGGTGTGTCTGGATTTTTATGTTTTTTTTTTTTGAGACCGAGTCTCGCTCTGTCACCCAGGCCGGAGTGCAGTGGCACAATCTCAGCTCACTGCAACCTCCACCTCCTGGGTTCAAGCGATTCTCTTGCCTCAGCCTCCCAAGTAGCTGAGATTACAGGTGTGCACCACCACGCCTGGCTAATTTTTGTATTTTTAGTAAAGACAGGGTTTCACTATGTTGGCCAGGCTGGTCTTGAACTCCTGACCTCAGGTGATCCACCCACCTCAGCCTCCCAAAGTGCTGGGATTACAGGCATTAGCTACTGTTCCTGGCCTGTGAAGTGTGTATGAATGAGATTAACGCTTGGTTTTTTTTTTGTTTTTTTGAGATGGAGTCTCACTCTGTCGCCCAGGCTGGAGTGCAGTGCCCAGATCTTGGCTAACTGCAAGTTCCGCCTCCCGGGTTTACACCATTCTCCTGCCTCAGCCTCCCGTGTAGCTGGGACTACAGGCGCCCACCACCTCGCCCGGCTAGTTTTTTTGTATTTTTTAGTAGAGACGGGGTTTCACCGTGTTAGCCAGGATGGTCTCGATCTCCTGACCTCGTGATCCGCCCGTCGCAGCTTCCCAAAGGGCTGGGATTACAGGCTTGAGCCACTGCGCCCAGCCTGAGATTAACATTTGAACCTGGAAACTAAGTAAAGCAGGTTACCCTCTCCAATGTGGGAAGGCCTGATCCAGTACCTTGAAGGCCTAAATAGAACAAAAGGCTGAGCAAGAGAGAATGTGCTCTCTCTGCCTGATGGTCTTCCAGCTGGAGGGTATTCTACCTTCAGATTCAGATCAAAACTTACACCACTGGCTTTCCTGGTTCTCAAGCCTTTAGACTTGAATTGGAACTATACCACCAGCCCTCCTGGGGCTCCAGCTTGCAGATCTTGGGACCTCTCAGTCTTCATGATCACATAAGCCAATTCCTTATAAATAAATATCAATAAAGATATATATATAGACAGATGTAAATAGATAGACAGATGTATCTATCTCCATCCTATTGGTTCTGTTTCTCTGGAGAACCCTGAATAATACACCAACTGAATTCTAGTAAGCCAGAATTTAAACAATGCTATTCTTCCAACTAATTTTTTTGTTTTGGAAAATAGTCATTTTTTACTTTAAAATATACTACTTGTGGTAACATGTAATAGGTTTGTTCTTTCAAAATAAATTTTAAAATAAATATTTTTAAATGTTTTAATTTCTTGTATGCTAAATATCTATATAGATAATCCACATAAACAAAAGCTCTTAAGAATACTTGTGAAGAATATAAAGAGTCCTGAGGCCACGCACAGTGGCTCATGCCTGTAATCTCAATAGCTTTAGGAGGCCGAGGCGAGAGGATCGCTTAAGGCCAGGAATGCGAGACCAGCCCAGTAAACATAGAGAGACCCCATCTCTATAAAAAATTTTTAACATAAAAATAAAAATAAAAATAAAAGTCCTGAGATCTGCCTTCAAAAAAAGTGAACTGCTCTTCTACATATACATAAAGTTTACAACAATCTATTAGAAAAATAGAATATTTGGCCGAGAGTGGTAGCTCACTTCTGTAATCCTAGCACTTCGGGAGGCCAAGGTGAAGGATCATTTGAGGCCAAGAGCTCAAGACCAGCCTAGGCAACAAAGCGAGACTCCATCTACAAAAAATTTTTAAAAAAATATTTAGGTGAGTTTGATGGTATATGTCTGTAGGCAGGAGGATCACTTGATCCCAGAAGTTGGAGGGTGCAGTAAGTTATGATCATGCCACTGCACTCCAGCCTGGGTGACAGAGTGAGACCCTGTCTTAAAAAAAAAAAAAAGACACAAAAGAAAACAAAACAGAATATTAATGAATATTAATTTATTTCTTTCCATTCTTCATAGCTAAATCAGAATTTCTTGTGCTGCTTATCAAAAAAATTAAAAGTTAGCCAGTTACAGAAGACATACCTGATCATCCCCAGAACCCTGCTGAGCTGTTGTTTCCAAACAGACCACATTAGTATCAGAAATTTGTGTTCTACTATTGCCTTGATATAATATCTGTTGCCATACATGACAGGTCAATGGAACAATCTGAAAATCAAAAGCAGACTTAAATAGAGCAATAACACAATCACTATGATTATACAACAAAAATAAACTAATATTCAGACCATATTTCCCAGTTCATAAAGCCCTTTCACATATATGACATTTTGATTTCACAACCATTATACAAGCTATTATCCTTACTTAAAAATAAGGAAACAGGGACTTAAGGTTACTCAGTTAGGACACAATATACTTTTGCATAAACCACAGCAGTTCCTTAACCTCCTTTACCCACAGAGGTAAAAGAAGCAAACAGAAACAAGCAAGTTGTCTATTTTTAAATCTTACTGGTTAAGACAGTTAAAACTCAACCCCAATAATAGGGATTGAAATCAACTCATAGCACAGGAAGTGGGAACAAAAGTCAGGATCATTTTGTGAAGTAAGGGGTTGGAGCAGCACTCTCCTACTAGTGAAAGAAGGTAATAAAAGTTGTGACCATAGCTCAAGGCTGAAGGAACACAAATGGACAGATTACAGGCAATAAAACAAAAATGACCTGGTCAAGCCACCCACTGGTTCAGGGATTGGTTCTTGAGATTTTTCCCAATATCCCTGAAGAATAAGAACCCAGAGTTTCCAATATAAGATTTCCTTCTAAAGCAGCAGCTATAAGGGACAAAGCAGAAACAACCACAAAAAGCGCGCAGGTAGAGAAGAATGCACACAAAGGGAAAACAAAATAACCCTCTTACTAAAAATTAGATTACAAACTATACTTCCAAAGGACTTTAAAATAGTATCTCAGATCCTCCAAGAGATAAAGATACAAGGTGTGCAGTGGCTCACACTGTAATCCCAGCACTTTGGGAGGCCGAGGCAGGAGGAGCACCTGAGATCAGGAGTTCCAGACCAGCCTGGCCAACACGGCAAAACCCCATCTCTACTAAAAATACAAAAATTAGCCAGGCGTGATGGCATGCACCTGTAAAAGGGAAAATTAAAACATTCACAGATAAACAAAAGCTGAGAGAGTTCATTACCACTAGACCTCACCTGGAAGAAATGCTAATGGCAGTCCTTCAAGTTGAAATTAAAGGATGCCAGATAGTAACTTTAATCACAGGAAAATATAAAGTTCTCTGGTAAAAGTAAATATATGGGCAAATATAAAAACATATTATTTTAATTCTGGTGAGTAACTCCACCTTAATTTTTTTATAGGATTTAAAAGACAAAACATAAAAATTAACTATAAATCTACATGCTATGATTTGAGTATCTGTCCCCTCTAAAACTCATGTTAAAGCTTAATCCACAACATGGCAGTATTGAGGGGTGGAACCTTTCAGAGGTGATTGGGTCATGAGGGATCTGGGCTCTCATGAATGAATTAATCATGAGGGCAGATCTGAACGGCTCAATGACTTGATGGATTAATGGATTAATGGCTTATCATGAGAATGGACTGGTAGCTTTATACGAAGAGAAAGACAGACCTGAGCTAGCATGGCCAACCCCCTCACCATGTGCCCTGTACCACCTCAGGATTCTGCAGAGTCCCCACCAGCAAGAAGGCCCTCATCAGGCCCTCACCCTTGTCCTTGGATTTCTCAGCCTCCATAACTTTTTAAAATAAACTACCCAGTTTCAAGTATTGTTATAAGCAAGAGAAAACAAACTAAGAAAGTATGTTAATGATTAAACAACATATAAACATGTTACTTGTGACACCAGTAAAATGTTAACAGGGTACTAATACTTTGGCCGGGTACAAGCTCATGCCTGTAATCCAGCACTTTGGGAGGCAAGACAAGTAGATCACTTGAGGTCAGGAGTTTGAGACCAGCCTGGCCAACAATGGCGAAACCCCATCTCTGCTAAAAACGTAAACATTAGTCAGGCATGGTGGCCTGACTACTTGGAAGACTACAAGTCCCAGCTACTTGGAAAACTAAGGCAGGAGAATCACTTGAACCTGGCAGGTGGAGGTTGGGGGGCAAAGCTATAAAGGACTAGAGTTTTTATATGTGATTGAAGTGAAGTTGTTACTAGTTTAAACAGGTTGTTATCCTCCTAAGTTTTATGATATTCTCATGGTAACTACAAAGAAAATAGCTATAGAATATACACAAAAGGAAATAAGAGAATCAAAATATATCTCTACCAAAAAAATTGACTAAACACAAAGAAAGGTAGAAGGGGAGGAAATAAAAAACAAGCTATGAAAGGACAAAGAAATTACCGAAAAAAAAAAAAAAAAAAAAAAAAAACCCATAGGATTAAAAAACAGGACCCAACTATATGCTGCCCTTTAAAAGACACTTTGGAACTAAGGACACACACAGCCTCTAAGTAAAAAGATTCAAAAAGATATTCCATGCAAATGGTAACCAAAAGAGAGCTGTGGTGGCTACACTAATATCAGACAAAATAAATTTTTAAAGAAAACTGATACTATAGACAAAGAAGAACATTATGGGGTCAATGCACAAATAAGATATAGTAATTATATATGTATCAAACATTGGAGCTTCTAAATACTTAAAGCAAACATTGATAAAATTGAAGGGAGCTCTCCAAAAACAGTGACAGACTTCAATAACCAACTTTCCATGATGGATAGAACAATGAGATCAATAAGGAAAGAAAAGACCTGAACAGCACTACACACCAATTGGACCTAACATACATATACAGAACATTCCACCCAACAACAGCACAATATACATTCTTTTCAAGTGCACATGAAATATTCCCCAGGATATGCCACGTGTTAGGCCACAAAGTATTAGGTATCTTTTCTGATCACAACAGAATGAAACTAGAAGGTAGTTACAGAAAGAAAAGTGGAAAATCAAGAAATTTGTAGAAATTAAACAACAAACTCTTAAAAAGACAAAGGGTCAAGGAAGAAGTAACAAAGGAAATAAGAAAATACATTACGACAAAAATGAAAGCACAAAATACCAAAGCTTATGGAATGTAGCAAAAGTAGGACTAAGAAGGTAATTAACAGTTGTAAATGTCTATATTAAAAAAAAAAATTCATGTCAACAATCTAACATTACACCTTGAAGAACTAGAAAAAGAAACTAAACCCAAAGTGATTAGAAGGAAAAAAATAAAAAAGATTAGAGCAGAGATAAAGAAAAGAGAATAGAAAAACAGTAGGAAAAAATCAAGAAAACCAATAGTTATTTGAAAATATCAATAAAACTTGACAAACCTTTAGCTAGACTGACTAAGAAAAAGAAATGCCTCAAATAACTAAAATCAGAAATGAAAGAGGTGACGACATGACAACCAATGCCATAGAAATAAAAAGGATTATAGGAGAATACTATGAACAACTGTACTCCAACTAATTGGACAGCCTAGAAGAAACAGATCAATTCCTAGAAACACACAGCCTACCAAGACTGAGTAACATGAAAAAATAAGAAAATCTCAACAGACCAGTAACAAGGAAATTGAATCAATAATCCAAAACCTCCCAACAAAGAAAAGCCCATGGCCGCGCGCAGTGGCTCACACCTGTAATCCAGTACTTTGGAAGGCCAAGGCAGGAGAAACGCTTGAGCTCAGGAGTTAGAAACCAGCCTGGGCAACATGGTGAGATCCCGTCTCTGCTAAAGATACAAAGAAAATAGCTGGACATGGTGGTGCTTGCCTGTGGTACCAGCTACTTAGGAGGCTGAGGTGGGAGGATTGCTTGAGCCTGGAGGGCAGAGGTTGCAGTGAGCTAAGATTGCAACACTGCACTCCAGCCTGGGTGACAAAGAAAGACCCTGTCTCCAAAAAAAAAAAAAAAGCCCAGGACAAGAAAGCCAGCTTCACTGGAGAATTCTACCATACATTTAAAGAAGAATTAACACCAATCCTCCTGAAACAATCCCAAAAAATTGCAGAGGAGGGAACACTTCCGAATCATTCTATGAGGCCAGCATTACCCTGATACCAAAGTCAGACAAAGACATTAGAAGACTATAAACCAATGTCCCTGATGAATATTGATGTAAAAATCCTCAACAAAATAGTACCAATAAGAATTCAGCATACATTAAAAGGATTACACACTATGACCAAGTAGAATTCTTGGAATACAAGGATGGTTCAACATACAAAAATTGATCAACGTAATACACCACATTAACGGAAGGACAAAACCACATGATCATTTCAAATGAAACAGAAATAGCACTTCACAAAATTCAACACCCTTTATTTAAAAAAAAAAAAAAAAAAGTCAACAGACTACAAACAGAAGAAAACTACCTCAACATAATAAAAGCTATATGTCCCACAGCTCATATCATACTCAATGGTGAAAAACTGAAAACTTTTCCTCTAAGATCAGAAACAAGACAAAGATGCTTGCTCTCACCCTTCTACTCAACACAGTATTAGAAATCCTACTAAAGCAATTAGGCAAGAAAAAGAAATATAAATTGAAAGGAAAAAAGTCCTATATACTGAAAACCCCCCACAAGACTCCAAAATTGACACTGTTAGAATAAACAGGCCGGGCACAGTGGCTCACGCCTGTAATCCCAGCACTTTGGGAGGCCAAAGTGGGTGGATCACTTGAGGTCAGGAGTTTGAGACCACCCTGACCAACAATGGCGAAACCCCATCTCTGCTAAAATACAAACATTAGCCAGGTGTGGCAGCGCACCTGTAGTCCTAGCTACTTGGGAAGCTGAGGCAGGAGAATCACTTGAACCCAGGAGGTGGAGGTTGCAGTGAGCAGGGATCGAGCCACCGCACTCCAGCCTGGGCAACAGAGTGAGACTCTGTCTCAAAAAAAAAAAAAAAAAAAAAAGAATAAACCCAGTAAAGTCGCAGGATACAAACTCAATATATGAAAATCAGTTGCACTTCTGTACACAAATAACTACTTATATGAAAAAGAAATCAAGAAAACCATCCCACTTATGATAGCACCAAAAAACAAAATAAAAAGACTTAGAAATAAATGTAACCAAGAAGGCAACAGATCTATCCACTGAAAACTGCAAAACTAATGAAAGAAATTAAGG